AAGTTAAGGCAGGGATAGATAGATAGATAGATAGATAGATAGATAGATAGATAGATAGATAGATAGATAGATAGATAGATAGATAGATATACATACAAAGTAACCAGGTAACAAAAATGGAACCTGGTGTGTATCCAGGTGTAGGAAGCAATGTTACATTATTTTGTCTAGACAAACTGTTTCTAACTGACCTTTAATTTGATTGGTTCTGCAGTTGGGGGACTTTAAGTGTCAAGGTAACAAAGTATACAAAGTTTGAAAAATGAAACCATAGAGACATACTTGGAGGCAAAATGGCTTCCGATATGCTAAGGGCTACAAGCAGGTGTTAACAGAGGAGCCATAGTTATGCTAAGAAATGAAGTAGGACTCAACAGAGGGGCTGCCTTGCTCAACTGATTTAAACACTTGCATTATTTAATTTCAAGATATATCTATATCTCTCTCTATATTGTTTCCCTAGACAATGTCTTTCTGTGCAGCCCAGGCTGTCCTGGACTCTGTAGACTAGGCTGGCCTCAAACTTAGAGATACGACTGCCTCTGAGATTAAAGGTGCATGTCATAATTTTTATAAACCAATTTTGAATGTTATCATATTTTCATCCCCCTTCCCAACATGAATCAAATCGATAAAGGCAATTCTCATTGCAGTCTAGAGATATCACTAGCCAAGTGCCCAGGGACTATTCTACCCACCGTTCTTACAACGGATTCAAAACCAGTAGAATGGTGTGGAGATGGTGTAGGGTTGCCCAGTGGGAGAGCACTTGACAGGCAAGGATCAGATGCTGAGTGTGATTTAGAGAATTATAGGAAAAGAAGTAAGGCAAGAAGCTAGGCCTAGTGGCATACCCCTGTAATCCCAGCACTAAGGGAGGCAGAGGCAGGTAGATCTCTATGAGTTCCAAGCCAGCCTGGTCTACAAGACTGCAAGGCTACACAGAGGAATCCTGTCTTAAAAAACTAAACTAAGGTAAAATAAAATAAAATGAGTATCCTACTTTTAAGAACTTAGTATAAGGCAGGCAGTGGTGGCATAATGCCTGTGATCTCAGCACTCGGGGAGGCAAAGTCTGGAGGAGCGCTGTGAGTTCGAGGCCAGCCTGGTCTACAAAGTGTTTCAGGACAGCCAAGGTTACACAGGGAAACCCTGTCTCAAAAAAAACAAAAACAAGCAAACAAAAAGAATTTAATATATAGGGGGAAATGAGCAAAGACATGGGTCAGTTTAATTGGGGAATGGGGAAGTCGATGGAGATGGAGGAAATAGGAAAAATAGCACTAAGGATATCTGAAAAGGCAGACTTAAGGAATCATTATTTTTTTATTTACCTAAAATTACACATAAGTTTGTGTGTGTGTGTGTGTGTCCACATATATATAGTTTAAATAAAATTATCTCACTAAAATCGACAATGCTCCTCCCAAGAACTGTAGGCGGTCTAACAAAAAGCCCAGTACCCAGGCATGCTTTCAATTTGTTGGTCAAAAGACTCCCAAAACAATATAAGTGACTGCTGTCACCAGGGTTATCTCCTAGAGATTGAAAGTAAGTCCCTGGAGACACCATGTACTTCAGGCACAGGACTCCGAGGATCCCAGCTGGATCTGGCCCGAAAGCCTCCTCCCTGAGGACCAGCTTTCACAACACCAGAAGGCTCCACGCAAGCTGCCAACAGAGGGAGTTGACCAATAATCTCACCCAGCCGTGTCCCCTCTGAACCACAACAATGCCCAGGCTGGCAAGACTTCCCTAAGAATGCAATAATGATACTCAAGCCTGGTAATGAGCAGCTGTCTAATTGGACTCAAGATTCACTCAACAGGAGGGAAATCATGCCAGGTATTGGAAATCTAGCCAATTCCCCGGGACTAGCGAGGCCAGGAACCTTAGAAGGGAACCTACCAACACTACTAAACCCATATAATTCCTAGCTGCATTCTAACTACTTATCCTTATACTCAACAGGTGAGTACAGCTCTCACAGACACTGCCTCCCTGCACAAAAGCAAACAAGCAAACAAATAAAAACCACCTCTTCACAATAGATAGAGACCATTACGGGAAATCAAAAACTGGTCAAAATACAGAGAGGAATTGATTGGAGGGTGCCCAGCCTCAGTGGACACAGCCACGACACGGTACCTAAATAATATGAGTGCCGCGAAACAAGCCTGGAACCAGTTCACCATCAACAGACATGCTAACGCGGAAGGGGGAAAAGCTCATGGGGCCCTGCCCCTAAGCAAAGAGCAACTAAGGAATGCTGAGAGCAGGAAAAATAGTCTTCCCTAGGGAGAAGCCCTCCAACTGGTTAGCTGCTTATCTAATACCAACTGTGTTAATCCTGAAATCATATACATATGAGTAACACTAAAAAGTGTGTGTGTGTGTGTGTATGTGTGTGTGTGTGTGTGCGCGCGCGCGCGCGCGCGCGTGCGTGTTTAAAACAAAGAAAAAGAGGCCAGGAATTTGTGAAGGAGGGGAGTGTAGAGAGAATAGAAAGGGGAGAGGTGATGTAATTATGTTTTAATTAAAAAATAACTTAGTATAATCATGGGGAGGAGGTCTAAGATGTTACAGTGACAGTCTGTTTCCCATCATTTTTTTTTTTTTTTGAAATGAAGAGAACTTTCCCCAGCTAAAGTTGAGTGCAGCTGAGTAGTATAGAGACCCAGACCACCCTGGATGTCCCCAGTCTTCCACCTGCTTTGGTGACTATCAACCTTCTTTGTACACCGGAGCCCTTGAAGGAACTTAAGGGCTATGATGGCTTGGTCTCGTCTTGAATCCGTAGGGATTCAAAGGTAATGGTTCTGGGAGTTTTAAAAGTTCCTCATGTGGAACATTCAGCCAAAGTTCAGAACCACTCATGCAAATAGAACCTAGATGCTCCCACGGTCTCTAATCCTCCAGACCTGCTCTGATGTGCCCAGACATGTCTAAATCCTAGGCTGAGCAGGGTTATTACTCCTTGTTAATCTAAAATGATTGGTCTCTTCTGTCCACACGGAAGTTTATAAAATTGCATCCTTTTATGCAAAAACTAACCTGCTAGCATATGATGGTTTGCTATAAACTATGGGCATGTACCCCGACCCATCACCACACATACCAACTCCAAATGCTAAAAACACAACCATCTGGTAATAGGAGAGACTATCTATTCTATGCCAATTCTAGGCCCCTCTGATAAGATGTAAAGAAGAAAGCGACCATCTGTATTTACTGTACATGTATTTATGTGACATGGGACTCTTCAGAGAAATGAAGACCCTGGCACATTGGCATTTGGGGATGCAATAGCAGCGGGAAGGTCACTGTTACTTTGTCCTCAAAGCAAGCAATAGCAGACAATTCTCCCTTGAAGCAGAGCCTAACTTCTCAGCTGAGGGGGGTCCTGTCTCTGGAAAGGAGCTATGACACAGGAGCAGAGAAGCACTTGAGCAAGCAGGCTTAGTTAAGTCTCTCAGTGTAATACTGCAAGATCAAGGACTCTCTGCCCATCACATTTCACAATGGCTGTCTGCTCTTCCAAAACTCAGCATGAAAACACACAAAGTTACCTCTTTCGTTGGGTCTTCATTTCATCATGAAGTCTCGTGTCACAAAAAAACATAGCTGAATTAATGCCTTTCTATTATTATTGTTTCTCTGTTATTAGAAAGTCTTCAGCCATGAGCCTTGCTATTCATGGGGAAAGATACTTTTCCTCCCCAACATAATCAAGAGAGAGGAAAAGTGATGATTTACCTAAGGGTTTATAGGCTGTGGCTATAATGCTCATGGGTAGAGAGAGTGCTTACCTAGAATGCACAGGCCCTAGGTTCCACTCTCATGACCATACACACAAAGAAAGGGGTGCTGATAACATGTCCCCAGCTCAGGGACAGCATTTCCACTTTAGAGTCTGTCCAGTGGCACAGAGAAGCCCTATCCAGACCATGGTCAGACATTAGATGTTATCATAAGCACAAAGAGACATCATCTACAAGCTTTCCCCAAGGGAGCAAGGGTTTAGGACAAGAAGAGCATGTAAGCCGGAGAACCATTCATCAGGAGAGAGGTGCTAATGTGTCCTAGTTTGGTTTTCTGTCGCAGTGATAAAACACTGACCAATGACCTGGGGAAGAAATGATTTATTACATGTTAAAGATTAGCATCCATTATGTTGGGAAGCCAGGAAAGGAGCCAGAGCAGGCTGGAGGTAGCAGTTGAAGCAGAAACGACAAAGGGATTCTGCTCAGAGGCTTCCTCCTCAGCCTGCTTTCTTATGCAACCCAGGACCATTTGACCAGGGGTGGCACCACCCACAGTGGGCTTGGCCCTTCTACATCACTCATTACTCAAGAAACTGCCCTTACACACTTGTCTTCAGTCTGTCTAATGAAGGCGACTAAGCCCTCAACTAAGAGTTCTTCTATCCAGACGACCCTGGTTGAGATCAAGTTTGTAAAAAAGTGACCAGAACTATGTAACTGGTTTGGCCCAAAGAGGTGCTTTCCTAGGCTTTTCACTGCTCTGTGTTCCTAGTCACTGAGTAGTGTCATCCCAAGAAATTGCTTGCGGTACAAGTACAAGTATGAAGAAGCCAGAAGTTTCAGAGACTTTTCCCAGCAATCCTTGCTGGTTCTCTGACTCCTCCATCTGGAGCCAAATGCTATTTTAGCAAAGAAGAAAGCAAGAAAGGAAAGAAGGAAGGAGAGAGAAACAGAAAACCTGGGGAAGTGGCCTCCTCTTCTCATCTCAGTTTTCTGTTTAATCATTTAGCTGGCACACCTATGCCTCCTCAGGTGAAAAGATATGTGAACTAAAGGTCAGCATCTGTCTCAAATATATGACTCTCCCCCCCACACACACACCTCATATGTACATGGGAGGAGACATGAGGATGTTTATAGAACTATTTTCATCCAGTCACAGTTTCCTAGCAACCAGGCAAAAGCATCTGCTTTCAGGGTGACTTTAAGCACCAGCTCAAGCCTTCCAATGCTCAAGTCTGTCTGCAGGTACTGGACGGAACGGAAGTGCTGCCATCAGTCTCCAGCTGGTGAGACATTCTGTGGGCATGGTCGGGTGGGGAGAGGGGTCCGCTTAGAATACACAGATATTTCGCAGTTCCCGGAATTCAATAAACTATGGGGCTGGGACTTTTGGGGGTTTGGTCTCTATGAAAGATCTAGAGCTGACCTCCTTCCAGTACCCCTTTTGTGTGTGTTTCCAGCTAGTGGTCTTGATTCCTTATAGCTCTATACAAAGAAAAGAAGAAAATCAAGTCTAGCTGAACAGTCTTTGCAAAAGGCTTTCTCTCCACCAGGCAAAGCTGATGAATGCATGTAAATCTCCAGGTAGCAGAGCTTTGCCAGACATTCAGTGGTGTTTACTGAGGAAGAAATGAAGAACAAAACAAACCAACAAAAAAACAAAACAATAACCAAAAAAACCAACAACTAAAAAAGTTAATTTGCGTAAGATGACACAGCTAGTTGGTGTCCTTTCAAGGTCTCCTGACCTCTTGTCTAGTGATCTGGAGGTGGTAGGCATTCATTTTTTAAAATATTTTTTAAAGTATTATAAATATGATGTGCTTTTGGATATTATCTGACACTGGGGTGGGAGTGCGAAGAGGAAGCTGTGGTGACAATCAAAAGATGAAAGTTTATAATTCATAAGTTTGAAATCCAAAGAGCCTGCCTGATCCTGTCACTGTAAGGACCAGAGTTGGTTAAAGAAATGCTAAGACTTTCAGTTTTTGGGCTTCGAAGCTAGTGATCCTGCTTCCTGCCAAGAAATTGAGCCCATTTTCTATTAAGGAATCGAAATAAGAATCAAAAAAGTTGTTATTTTATGCTTATGGCTGTTTTGCCGACACGTATGTCTATGCATCTCGTGTGTGCTCAGCATCCGCAGAGGCCAGAGGAGGGTATAGGATCCTGTGGAATTGGAGTTATAGACAGATTTGAGCTGCCATACCGGTACTGGGAACTGAACCCAGTTCCTCTGGGAGAGTAATCAGTGTGCTCTTAACCACTGAGCCATCTCTCCAGACCCCACACATGCTTTCATAAATTACTGAATTAAAAGATTTTTAACACATTCCAGCCATCATGGAAAGATAGAATGTTAGGGTGGGGTTTGAAGCAAAGTTCACTAGACTTTTTTTTTTTTTTACATTTAAGTAGCACCAGAGACTAAGAGCCAAGCAGCTTGGCCATGATCACACCAATTAGCTGTAGGGGGATGCCATATCCCAATCCCTGGCTTCCCTAGGTCAGGGCTTTTCTTCCTCTAGACCATGAGGCCTCCTTCCTAATTTGCAGCCTTCTCCCTCTTCCTCTCCTGATCAGCGCAGTACAGTGCTCCCTCACCTCTTCACATCCACTTCCTCCCTCTCACAAGCTGAAGCAGCTGTAGCAGCAGGAGAAAAGATTCTAAATAATCAAGTCACCCTGACGAAGAGCTCATTCAAGTCAGTCTCAGCCTGCTGGCTCTTCCCTCGATGTTAAAGAGCTTAACGAACCTTCCTTACTGTGGGCTACAATCGTCTGCCAAGTTATCTTTCTAATTATCTTTAAAATGAGGATTTTAAAGCACACGTACAACTTAGTGTGTCAACATTTTTCTTGCACCTGTACAACTTAGTGTGTCAACATTTTTCTTGCACCTATAATCAGTCTTTAGAGAAACAAAACCAGCAATGTGTGTGTCTGTGTGTGTGTCTATGTGTGTGTGTGTGTGTCTATGTGTGTGTGTATGTCTATGTGTGCCTATGTGTGTGTGTGTCTATGTGTGTGTGTGTGTGTCTATGTGTGTGTGTGTCTATGTGTGTGTGTGTCTATGTGTGTGTGTGTGCCTATGTATGTGTATATAGGTGCAGTCTGTACTAAAGACAGCTACTGACTAGCATGCAGATAGATAGATAGATAGAGATAGATAGATAGAAACAGAGAGAGACAGAGAAATAGAGAGACAAAAAGGCAAAGACTGAGACTAATTAAAAAAAAAAAGATTCCCTAGAAAAGATCATCCTGAGTGAGGTAACCCAGAACCAGAAAGAACCCGTGGAATATATTCAGTTATAAGTGGGTATTAGCAGGATAATACAGGATAAGCGTACTACAACCCAGACCTAAAGAAGCTAAACAAAAAGGAGGATGCTTAATTCTCATCCAGAAGGGCAAATAGAATAGACACCAGAAGCAGTTGAAGAGAAGGACCAGGATGAGAGCCTACCACAAATGTCCTCTGAAAGACTTTATTCAGCAGGGGATCGAAGCAGATGTGAAGATTTACAACCAAAGTTTGGGCATAGCACAGGGAGACCGAGGAAAGAGTTGGGGAAGAAAAGGATCCAGAGGGAACAGGAGCTCCATAAGAAGACCAACAGAGCCAACAAATCTGGGCCCAGGGGGGACTACAGAGACTGATGCACCAACCAAGGACCATGGAGAGGACCTAGACCCCCTGCTCAGATGTAGCTGGTAGGCAGCTCAGTCTCCATGTGGGTTTCTTAGTAAGGGGAGCAGGAGTTGCCTCTGATATGAACTCTGTTGCCCTCTCTTTGATCATTTCCCTTTGGTGGGAGGCATTGCCAGGCCACAAGTAAATTCAAAAAATGGTTCCTATGAGTAGGAAGCTTGGTCAGTCTGAATTTGATGGAGGAGATCAGCAGCCTGGATACCCCAGAAGGAGTTGCAGTCAGAATCTAAGCTGTCTGTTGGTAGATTTCCTTCTTGCTAGGAGAGGTCAACCCTTGTTCATTTAAGGCTCTCAACCAATTAGGTAAGGGCCACTCACATTATGGAGGAAAATACACTTTAATGTTTATCATTATCATTTACCATTATCACTGTAAATGTTTATCCCATCCAGAAAACAAATCTATAAAAACATCAGGATAGCATTTGACCAAATAACTAATAATAGTAAATCAGCCATGATGATTCATCAAACTGGCCACCACAAAGCACTTCAAATGATTCCGACAGATTTGATGCCTCGTCGTACTTGCTGCTGAGTTCCCCCATTCGGTTAGTAATTTTTTTTTCCCACAAGCTTCTTTGTATGTGTCATTTCAGAGCCCCTTTGACCCCATTACCTTGTCGCCAACTTTCAGTTCAATGTCCAGGTGGGCACTGAAGACACCTTTGCCACTACTGATTGTGTGGACTGTCAGATGACCTCCCAGCCCGCGCGTGAGCGTGAACTCTGCTGTGAACACACTGGGAGTCCCTGCATTGGTCATACACAGGGCACTTCTAATATATTCAGATCATGAGTCAGTATGTTCGGGTGGTTCTACCCAAAAAGCCTTGTCAAAAGCCACAGGAACCGTCCCTGTTTTACAAGCAAGGCCGAGCATAGTGAGTGTTAGAAAAACTTGAAAGAAGGCTCAGCAGGCCAAAATGTACTTAAATAAAAATACTTAAACTCAGGCCTAAGGACCTGAATTCCATCCCTGGATCCCACAGGGTATCACAAGAGAACCAACTCCTGAAAGTTGTCCTCTGACCCCCACACTTACGTCATGGCACATGCTCCTACACTCATAGGCACTCACAAAATAGTTTTTTAACACAGTTACTATTTTTTTTTCTCTCTCACTTGGTACTTGCTGGGTACGAGCATCCTGAATTCTGGATGCTCTTGGATCCCTTCCACAGCCTCAGACTCCATGACTGATATTTGTAGCAACAGCACCCCCTAACTCATGTCCTCTCTGATTTGCTGCTGTAGTTTCTAGGCTTGCAGAAATTGCTCTTCCGAAGGGCTATCAAGGATTAGCAAGGATACCAAGCTGCAGACACCTGCTCAGCCACAGCCTTCCGTCATGGAGAGGAGGCTCGTAAAGCAGGAGGTGAAAAGGCTGCTGTGAGTATTGCCGAGAATAACTTCCGTTCCTGAGCCTTGCGTTTTGAACGCCATTGCAGATGGTCTGGAGACTGGCAGGTGGACAGGAGGCTAAGGAGGGAATCTCTCGCTCTGTGGGAGAGAGCCAGCAGATGCTCTGGTGTCTGTCTTCCTGCTGCAGGGCACCATGCAGAATCTCCTGAGGGGATGCTTCTGCAGGAGCATCCACGTGCAAGGCACCCCACAGCCTAGGGGGACACGATGCTCCACTGAAGGAGACTGCACTTACCGGCAGAGATTATAGATTCCTAGATGTGCCGCCCCAGGGCCGGCATTTAAACCAGAGCCTGTGCCGCTTTTATTGTCAAGCTCAGCAGCCAAATGATCCATCTCCATATTTTTATGACTGCAAAACTTTCTTGACTAATAAAGAAAACATCAAGTTTCCCATTAACTTTTACCCATCCCATTCAGTGGTTCTTCAACCTCGCGCTTCACAAATGTTGATTAAAAAAAAATTACAGATCATACAACAAGAATAGATGATATTTTATTTTGTATATGTTGGTGACACACATTAAATAGTTTTTTTTTCCACCAAGGATTTTTGTTTGTTTGTTTGTTTGTTTGTCTTGTTTTTCGAGACGAAGTGTCTCTGTAAAACAAACACTGGCCGTCCTGGACTTGCTTTGTAGACCTCTGGCCTGGAACTCACAGACTTCTGCCTTCCTCTCAAGAGCTGGGACTAAAGGCCTGAGTCACCACTCCCAGCTTCATCAAGGGTCATATCATAGACACCATCAAAGGTCCCTTGTCTGCCTGTGAAGGGGAATGTCTTTTACTAAATCTTTAAGAAAGGCTGGAATAGACATGTATAGAAGTCACTCATGTTTACATATACGTGCTTGGAGGCCAAGATAACAACAAACAAACAGCACTTCAAAAGGTAACAATAAAAAACAAACAGGAGTTAAGAAAACCAACTGACAGGTGTGGTAGCACATGCCTTTAATCCCAGCACTCAGAGACAGAGGCAGGTGGATCTCTGGGAATGGAGGCCAGCCTGGTCTACAGTTCTGGGGCAGCTGTTACTACACAGAGACGCCATCTCAAAAAATAAATGAATAGATAACAAACAAACATTTTCTTGTTGCCCATGCTAACTCCAGGCAGAATGCATAATGCTACTGTGTTCTGTGAAAAAATTACAAAAAAAAAAGTGTTGTTTTATGTCATGGCCTCTTCTTAGAGGACAAATATCCATAGAAGGTATGTCTATGTCTGTCTCCTGAGTGCTTGGATTAAAGTTCTGTACTAACACGCCCATAAGTAACTCTTTATTATATGTAATGGGTCTTAGCCGTCCTCATGCAGAAAATCTATTCTGTGTGTTAGCATTTTGCATCCTTCCTGCTTTCTTTTAAATTATTTCAATAATGAATTTAATTTTAAGATAAATTTAAGTTGATTGGGCTGGAGAGATGGCTCAGAGGTTAAGAGCACTGACTGTTCTTCCAAAGGCCGTTGAGTTCAATTCCCAGTGACCACATGATGGCTCACAACCATCTATAGTAAGATCTGGTGGCATGCAGGCAGAAAACTGTATAAATAATAAATACATCTTTCAAAACTATTTAAGTTGATTATGATTAGATGTTTTAAACCTGCAGCCTTTGGAGGTTACCATGCAAGCAAAAATTGAGTATTAACAGCTGCTAGACCATAAGTGACTTCTGATGCATTTTTGTTTGGTGGAGGGAGGTTGGAAAGAAAGCCTCTTTGTGAAGATGAAACCCTATGTTGTCCCCAATAGTTCAATGCTGCTCTCTTGCTTTTAAGGGCAGAGTATATTGGAATCAGACTTCGAGAAAATGAATTTGATCCAAAAGGAAGAGGTCAACTCACCTTTCTAGATGATATGGTAAAGAAAGTCACGCTGGTGCAACTCCCATTGTGTTCTGTATGTAATAAGGGGACAGAATTAAGACAAAATGTGTATGTAACTAACATACACACACACATTCAAACATACACACACAAAGACAACTTGTCCTCTTCCTTATCTTTTCCTCATTCTAAGGTTGTCCTTATGTTCATCTTCAACCACTAAATAGAAAGCAAAAAGAAAATAAGACACTATAGACAAGAAAAGATAAAAACAAATGACTATGAGATTTTTTTTGTTTCGTGTTTGTTTGTTTGTTTTTTGAGACAGGGTTTCCCTGTGTAGCTTTAGACCAGGCTGGCCTCAAACTCAGAGATCCGCTTGCCTCTTCCTCCCCAAATACTGGGATTAAAGGTGTGAGCCACCCTCCTGGATAAAAATGTTAATTTTAAAGTTAAAGACCTTAACAAAATTAGTAATAGGGTAGTTCTCAAGTATAATCACTTCTCATCTTTTGCCTAGGTGATGGCACCAGGCTACAGATCCAAGAGTCCTTTGTGTTATACTGAGACCAGGCTTATGTGAAGTTCTTCTTGCTACACAGAAATTAGAGAAGAAACTACAGAAAGATTTAATCCAAAATAAATCAGTGGACTCGGCTTACCCCCACCCATGTGCTATCTTTGTGCTCAGAGGGGTGTGTCTCTTCTCCATTCCCCTCCGTGTAAAGGCAGGGATTGCAGTGAAGCCTGCCTCCGAGTGTGTACACATCTCACAGGGACGTTAAACAGATCGGAAGAGCTGTACCTCTCAAACTTTAACGAGGCATTCTTACAGCGTCATTTTTACTCTGGAGGCCGGGATGCTTGTGTTTCTAATGAGCATGGCAGTGTGCCTGAGCCAGGCATCAAACTCCAGATTAGGTTTCAAGAGAAATGACCACGGTCCAAAACCCTTATTAATTATTTAGCTTGACATTTAACTTTAGTTCACGTCCCTGAGGTCATCATTACATTATTTAGAAATTCTCAGAACCTTGACCAAATCCAAACTAACCTTTGCTTTCTGGGTTGTGAGGACGGAAAGGAAATGTTGCTAGTAGGTGGAAAACACACTTACTAAGCAAAAGCTCACACATGACCAGGAAAGAGGTCATCACCGTGATAAGAATCAACATGGAAATTGATCTTCAGTTTTGTACCAGGTGTGAGGCTCTCTGCCTGTCACTCAGTCAGGTCTATCTGGCCCATTGCTCGTGCTATGTTCTCTAACAATAAGCAGGATTAGAAATTGTCCTCTGTAACCTTTTTTCTCCACCCTCTCCCTCTGCTTTTTTAAAAATTTAAGGGGAGGGCTGGAGAGATGGCTCAGAGGTTAAGAGCACTGGCTGTTCTTCCAAAGGTCCGGAGTTCGATTCCCATCCACAGCGTGGTGGCTCAAGACCATCTATAATGAGATCTGGTGCCCTCTTCTGGTGTGTAGGCAAATATGCAGGCAGAATAGTATATAAATAAATAAATCTTTAACAGGGACTATTTCTGACAGGAACTCAATGGTAGGCTCTTTGACCTCCCCACTCCGGCAAGCAAGGATAGAGTCAGTCCTGCTAGGCCACAGAGGAAGACTTTGCAGCCAGTCCTGAAGATACCTGATAAAACAGGGTCAGATGAAAGGGGAGGAGGTCCTCCCCAATCAGTGGACTTGGAAAGGGGCAGGGAGGAGACGAGGAAGGGAGGGTGGGACTGGGAGGGAATGAGGGAGCGGGATACAGCTGGGATACAGAGTTAATAAAATGTAACTAATAATAAAAATTTAAAAAAAATAATGCCAAAAAAAAAAGTAAAATTTAAGGAGAGGGAGGCCTAATTAATGCTCATCAGCAACTTGCCCAAGAATATACCTCGTGTTGCTGGTGGCAATCGCAGTGTGAAGTCACATTCCCCAATTCCCAGTTGAGAGTTATTTCTTTTCTGGACCACACACGGCAAGTAACTGCTTAGTGAGAGATAAACTTAATGCCCGAAGATGCCTGAAATATCTCTAGCTGAGCATCGAGCTACAAATACGGATTCCTGTCCTCCCCACCTTCCCCCCACAATTGGAACACGACAGAGGACAGGCCTAGCATTGTCCAGGAGTTGCCTTGCCAAGGTCTCAGTCCAGTCCACCCCTTTGCTCTCTACTTCCTGCTTCCAGGCCCACTATGACTTGGCCATCAGTGTCGCCTGTCAGTGGCTGGATCACTCAGAAGACTTAAGTTGGCTCCAGTGGGAGAAGGTGTAAGTTGAACCATGTTTGCTGTTTTTCTTTTTGATCTATCTACTTACTTAGGGTGGGTGGGGAGAGATGTATGAACGGGCATTCCAGTGCGTGGGTGTGGGTCTATGCAGAGGTCAGAGGTCAAGGTCAGTGTGTCTGCCTCTGTCACACTTCATCTTATTTTTTGAGATGGGGTCTCTCCCTTACTGAATCTGTCGTTCACCACCGGCAAGCCTAGCTGGCCAGCAAGCTCCAGGGGAGCCCCCTGTCTCTATCCCCCACCCCCAGCACTAGGATTGCAGGCTGTGCCACCATGCCCAGCTTTTCTACAGGGATCGTGGGGGAAGGCTCCAAATTCAGGTCCTCGAACTTGCACCAGGCAAGCGCTTTACCTCATCCCTCAGCCATCTCCTCAGCCCTCTTGGGTTTTTATTTTCCTTTTAAAATATGAGTTTAGGGACTGGAGAGATGGCTCAATGGTTAAGAGCATTAGCTGCTCTTTCAGAGGAGCCGGGTTCAATCCCCAGCACCCACACGTCAGCCTACCACTACTGTAACTCCCCCTTCAGGGGGTTCAACACCCTCACACAGGCATACATGCAGTCAAAACACCGATGTACGTACAAATACAAATAAAAATAAATGAATAATATAAAAAGGACACGCCCCTACACACACACACACACACACACACACACACACACACACACTCGAAATGGCTATCATTGAGGGAGGAAGTTCCAGCCCCATGTGGAGTCTTCCTAGGAGGCACTCTGGTGTAGAAGCACAGAGCAAACTTCCTCCTCCAGCCAGAAGCCTGAAGACACACTGCGGCTGCAGCTTGAGGACATCACAGGGATGCTCACCTATTTTATATTTCTAATCGTCAGCTACTGTCAAATTAAGAAAAAAAAAATCCTGCCAGGTGGTGGTGGCCCACACCTTTGATCCAAGCACTAGGGAGACAGAGGCAGGTGGATCTCTGTGAGCTCAAGGCGAGCCTGGTCTACAGAGTGAGCTCCAGGACCCCCAGGGCTACACAGAGAAACAACCAAACAAAAGAACCTTGCATGGAATTGTCCTCCTGAGAAGCATGGTTTTACTGTGTTATCTACACGTTATGTAACAGTCAGTTCTGCAGGCAAAGAGTGAAATTGCTCCCCAAGGGCTATCTCACACAGTTTCTGGAGCATGTACGCTGTTAAGCACTTGTGTCCATGGAGTTATTCTCCTCCCAAGATTATCAGCGTTTTCTTCAAGTGTGGTGACTCAGCAGACTCAGCACCCTGCTCGGAACAGGAAACGGAGAGGCCACGGTCAAAAAGCTCATTCCAAAGTCCGAGTGTTGTTTCTATTCCACAGCCTTGGCTCAAGGCTGCAGCTAGGAAACGACAGTAGTAAGCAGAAAACACAGTTTGGACAACCTCAAGGAAGGAACAAGAGCAAGGGGAGTGTGTGGAGGGGAAGATGGGCGAGCAGGAGGATGGAAAGGTGGGAGAGGTGGGTTTGATTCTCCCTCTCTCTGAAAAGTCTGTGAACAGGACTGTTAAGCACAGGAATTCAGAACTCAGGCTGATGAGATGGCTCAGTGGGCACAGGACTTGCCAAGAAGCCTGACTTTCTGAGCTCAATCCCTGGGGCTCACTGAATGAGGGAGTAAGCTCCCTCAAAATGTCCTGTTACCTTTATAGGCACTCCACAGTGAAGCAAGCTCTCTCTCTCTTTCTCCCTCTCCCCATCTCTTTTTCACTTTCTCTGGCTCTCTCTGTCTCTCTCACACATAAACACATACAATATAATATATGATTTTTTTTTTAGGCTACCAGGTTCTACTCCAGTGTCTTTCTTCAGGGTGAACAATATTAGTGTCAGCTCCCTTCAGAGCAAGGTTCAGTCCAAACCAGGATGGATTTAAACAAACACTGAGCAAACATGAAGTGTGTCTCAGTGTCTCTGTTTCCTGATTTGTCTGGACGTGGAACACTTTGGCAAGACGCATTCTTAGAATCTTAGGGGTGTTTTCAGCCTTGCTACAGGTGTGCAACAAAGGAAAACAGACCCCTCCCAGAAGACCATGAGAAGGGGTGATATCTGCTAGTAAAGCCATAACCACCCACTATAGGAACCAGTGTGCATTCATGATAGCTTTAGTGAAAGCTATCAACAACACACACACACAGCAAAAAAACAAACAAACAAATCAAAAACATCACTTTGTTGAAAAATTAAAAATCCAAAGTATGGCTGGGCAGTGGTGGCACACGCCATTAATCCCAGTACTCTGAGGACACAGGCAGGGGGAGCTCTCTGAGTTCAGAGTCAGCCTGGTCTACAGAGTGAGTTCCAGGATAGCCAGGGCTACACAGAGAGACCCTGTCTCAGACAAAATGAAACGAAACAAAACAAAAATTCAAAGTACACGTTTCCTCAACAGAAAACCAATCGTATTGGTTCTATTTTAACAGGGTGTGGTACACAGCCATGGCGGATTACTTATGGATTACTGTCACTCCCTTAGCACGTGTCAAAGAGAACAGAATAGGAGCCAGGAAGATAGACAGCTGAGTAAGCGCTTACAGTACAAGCGTGGGGGCCCGAACTGGGTCCCCCGCATCCACATAAAAGACTGGGTGAGGTGACACAGATTTACAGTCACAGCACAGAAGAGGCAAAGGCATGGATCCCTGGTGCTGGCTAGCCAGCCAGCCTTCCCTCCTTGGTGAGCCCCAGGTCCAGTGAGAATCCCTGACTCGCACAAACAAACAAACAAACAAACACACACACACAATGTGGACGGCCCCGGAGGGTGACAGCTGAGGCTGACCTTTGTTCTCCACACACACATGCCCCACCCCAGCGTACACCACCCAACTCTTCTCCATCCATGTTTCCCTTCAGGAGAGCGCCTCCTCGTGGCAGACCCATGTATCCCAACCGAAGAGAACGAGAAGCAATGATCCTATCGTCCTACGCTGGAGTCTTAATGGTGAGGGAAAAGGCACTGCACATGTGGGCGTTTCATGTCTTCTGGCATCGTTGGCACAAATGCCCACTTCCATGTCTCCAATAGGACTTCTAAATGCCTGGGGTTTGCTGACAGTAACATTTATGGTTTTGAATGCATCATAAAAATAATTTGACTTCCGTACATATTGCAAAAATAGGTCTGGGAGATGAGGGGGGAAAAAAGGATGAGAGACATTAGTGTGTGGAAAACCTTTTGACGCATTCGTTTAGAAATTATTACCTAGCTGCTGTGCCGCCTCATGCTGTACTCAACCCACTGGAGCTGCAGGAACACTGTTTTATAATTTGAAAAAGCCGCACTGTGATGACTCATTGTTTTTATTTCACAGAACAGTATCCCAATTGAGGAAGTCCTTAAACTTTACGGGGCCAGTCCTACTGCCAGTCCTAATTCAACCAAGGTAAAGTAGATATGGGACTATTAATATATATTAATTTAGTATATATATCTGATATTATATTGTATGTGGTATATGCTATGAGAATGCTTTACCACTGACATATATTCCAAGCCACAAATAGCTCTTTATGTTTGTGAGTATGTGTATATTTGTGTGTGTGTGTGTGTCTATGTGTGTTGCTGGGGACTCATCTCAGAGTCTTGTACAAGCTGAGAATCCATTCTACCATTGCTTGTCTCCCCCGCCCTTGAATGAGATTATATAGCATATGCCTTTATAAGGATAGTTTTCAGACATCAATAAATAATTATTTTAGGAAAAAAATGAAAACTGAGATGTTGAGATCACTCAACAAGTAAAGGCTCCTGCAGTCAATCCTGAGTCCCTGGCTCGAGCCTCAAAATCTGTGTCATGCAAGCTACCCTCTGACCTCTACATGAGTGTTTGTGGATTACCCACCCTACCCCCAAATAAATAATTGCACTTTAATTTATATATATGTATGTATGTGTGTGTGTGTGTGTGTGTGTGTGTGTGTGTGTGTGTGTATTTCCTTTTGTTTTGTTTTATTTTTTGAGACAGGGTTTCTCTGTGTAGTCCTGGTTGTCCTGTACTCACTTCGTAGACCAGGCTGGCCTTGAACTCACAGAAATCTGCCTGCCTCTGCCTCCCAAGTGTTGGGATGAAAAGCGTGCACCACCGTTGCCTGGCATAATTGTACTTTTAACAGTTAGAGGTAAAAACCAGAGGCAACCACATCCTAACTGAGCCACACATGCTTGCCAAATGCCCCCCTTAAGTGCAGCAGTGCCAGCCAGTGCCAGTGTGCTTTGTGGAAGGCTGAGTCTGGCAGCAAAGAGAGCATCGGACAAGGAGGAGTCCAGCCAGATCCCACTGCTTCTGACCACTGTACTTTCTCACTCATACTTTCATGCTTTAATTTGGGCCTAACAAGTCACATTCTGCCACTAGTTTGATGTAATCTGCCATCCAGAATGAAGACCAGTAAGGCTTATGCTCAGAATAAAAGACACAGCTAAAGGTGGTCACCTGCCCATTTCTCGTTACCTTCTTGGGTGTCAGCAGCAGAATGACCCAGTATAGAGCTCTGGGTTTTCCTCTCCAGAGCCCTGCATGGGTTCTTTTCCTTCTTTGGGCCTCTATATTTTATTCTTTTATTTTAAAAAAGTTTTCTGTTGCCAGATGTGATGACACACACCTGTAATTTCAGCACTTAGGTGATGGAGGCAGGAGGATCAGGAATTCAAAGTCGTCCTTGGCAACACAGGGAGTTCAGGACAGCCTGAGCTATATGTTTTGTGTTTGAAAGACAAAAGTATTCAGAGAGGCAGGGGCAGGCATATCTTTGTGAGCTGAAGGCCAGCCTGGTTTACAAAGTGAGTTCAGGACAGCCAAGGCTACACAGAAAAACCCTGTCTCAGAAAACAATAAAAAAAGAAAAGAAAAGAAAAGAATTTAAACACTGGCTTTGATCCCCTTACCAATGGATACTTCTATGAGCTGGATGAGCACAGGGCAGGAGTAAAGGGAGCTGGGCCAGAGAGAAGTCAGTCAAGCGCAGGGCCATGAACACAATCACAGGACCTATGCCCACCTGCTTCCTTACCTGTAGAAGACAGTATGCCAGTGATGGCTCACACCACACACACACACACACACACACACACACACACACACACATACACACACACGGTAGCTTTCCCCTGTTCTTGTATCCACAAACCACAACCACAAGGCAGTTTGGAAAGACTCAGAAAGAAGCCAGGGCAGGGCCAGGGCCATAGACACAGAACAACCATCTGTCCCTATTCTTGTTCCTGAAGACTCTACTGTAGAAGCCGTGGGTCACCTCATCCACCTCCATAGCCGAGCATTTACTAAGTCTAATGGTTTTGAAACCAGCTTCTCAGCGCCATACTCTTGCTGGGATCCATATTCCCCCAACCCCCGAGGGAACCACAGCGTTCACCCTCACCGCTGCACTGCTGATCTGCTCATTCTTTTGCTTTCACAATATGTAGTTGAAGGCCAGGGATGCGAGTGAGCAAGTTGGGCAATGTGCCTTTTTCTCACAAATCTCATATTCTGCATTGAGGTTTGTCATGACCGGTGCTCCTAAGAGACTTAGCAGTTGTTTTCTAAGGATTTATTTTATTTTGTATGCAGTAGTCTGCCTGCACACCAGAAGAGGGCACCAGATCCCATCTTAGATGGTCACGAGCAGCCTTGTGGTCAGTGGAAATTGAACTCAGGACTTCTGGGAGAACAACAGCCAGGTGTTCTTAACCTCTGAAATCTCTCCAGCCCAGCAGTTTTGTTTTTTTTTTTTTTTTTAATGCAAGTGAATACCACATGACCTGATTTGATTTCTAAGATTTATTTCTTGTTATTTTATGTGCATTGGTGTCTTGCCTGCATGTATGTCTGTATGACGGTGCCAGATTCCCTGCAACTGCAGTTACAGAGAGCTGTGAGCTGCCACGTGGGTGGTGGGAATCGAACCCAGGTCCCCTGTAAAAATAGCCAGTGCTTTCAACCACTGAGTCATCTGTTTAAGTTAAAGAAAGGCCAGTTTTTGTGATGTTTTGGCCATGCACACTACACCACTCTGTTTCCGTTTGTTCCCTGCAACCTTCTCTTTGCTGGCCTGTCTTCTCTCTCTCTCCCTCCCCAAATATGCCCCAAACCTGCTCACTGTTTTTCACTTATGATTTTTTTTGTTCTTCTTCTTGGTCTTCTATCTCTCCGGAGGTGTCAGCCACACTGCTTGATTGCTCCATGCTTTATTCTGGAATGGATGGCACTGTGACCTCCAGGTTCCCTGGGGTCGTCCGTCAGTGTTTCAGTCAGTGTCTGAGCAGTTGGCCTATTCCAGTCTCCAAAATGGAAGGGGCACAGGTCATATTGCACCAGAGGATCGCTCTCCTCCGAAGCCTGCGGCACCTTGTTGCAATAGGCTGGGACCGTCTGTTGATTCACATATGGATGGAGTTTGCCTAATGTTCAGCCGCAGGACTCTGAATTCTTGCTTCCTGGGCTTCAATTGCCGCTGCACCAGAGTCAAACAATGATTCTGGGAATTGTTTTCAACATTTCAACATAAAATGTTCCATTTGTAAAATCAGGTTAAGGTTGTTGTGGCCGTTATGTGAAGCAGTCCAATGAAGCCCTTGTGTTTGGCACATAAAAATCTCAAAATAATGGCTAGAATTAAGGAATTAAGGTCCTAGAACTCAAGACTGGATAACTAAGTTAGTGCTCCTCCTCTTTCTTTCTTTCTCTCTCTCTCTCTATTTTGTTTTTTTGGTTTTTGTTTTCTTTTGTTTTGTTTTGTTTTGTTTTTCAAGACAGGATTTCTGTGTGTAGCCTTGGCTGTCCTGAAACTCACCCTGTAGACCAGCCTAGCCTCAAACTCACAGAGCTCCTCCTGCCGCTGCCTCTCAGAGTGCTCAATGAATCCTAGGGACAAAACCACATCCGATTGTGACTCACTGCTCTAAGTAGCTAATAGCTGTTAAATAGCTAAGCAAATATGTGCATTAACACAGTGCAGGCTTGGCTTATCTGGAGTAACTAATTCCCTAAATGATTATGGTTTGAGGAAGCAAGGCTTGGCAGCCTCCTCCTCCTGTCCCAGGAGCTCCCACCCAACCCCCTGCAGAACTGCAAGCTGGTTCCACCCTGAGGACTTCTCTTCAGCTGGATGAGGAACCAGCAAGAGCCTCACCCTCAGGCTGCAATGTCGCATTTTAAACATTAAACTGTAGGGCTGTTTTAAAACAGCCCTTTGGGGTTTAACATGGCTTCAAAAATAACGGTTTTAATTAGAAGCCAGAGTGGTTTAAAAAACAATAGATGTTGTCAAAGGTTCTTTAATTACCTCTTATATAGGAATGACCTTTGATTCCTTTGGACCAATCTCCTAAGCAACAACTGAAATAGTCTTTGAGACAGAGTTTAAAACCCAGTGGAATACAAATCAGATTGGGATGAATTTCCGGCAGCTGGAAAGGAACTGTGCGCAGCCGGGTGGCTTTCTCCGGGACTCTCTGCTGCCTCCTGGTGATGGAAGGGAAGCAAGGCAGATACTGCTCGCTCCCAGCTGCAGGCTCCTGCTGGATGGCCATTTTTTTCTTAACAAGGAATTCCGTTTTCTGTTTGTTTTGTGCTGTTTTCCTGTTGAGGACCCATGACCCAGAAGAAGTTCAATTAAAGGCTTTACATAAGCACGGCCTATTTACCACTGTCTCCAGATGATAAATATAAAATGCCCAACTTGGTTTAAACTGTAGAAAAAGCATAACATCTTCCTTAAGCTTATAAAGCAACAGATAAAAAAACATTCTTCAGGCTCCTTTGATAGAATAAAGGCAGACAAAAGAAAGGAATGCAGAGCGAATGAAAATGGGTGGAAGGAGAGAACCCCAGGGCCCCACCTCTGCTTTGTTTTCCCAAATGTCATCCCATTTTAAGGGGCAGCATTCAAACCCACACTCAAACATCACGACTCCTGAAGTAAAGCATTTCAGGCCAGACCCAGATCCATCCCTTCCTCCCATCAGTTATTTTTCTCTGATCACAGGTTCCCTAAGTGTCAGTAGGCCTGACATCATGTCCCCAACCACCCCAGGCTGTTCAGAGGGTGTGAATCAATTACATGATGGTCCAAGGAGCACCTTCCACGTGACTCCTACTATTGCTAACACCAGCCTCTCTCTCCTGCCAGCAGCTGGTTCTCCCAGTACCAGGCTGCCTCTACCCTCTTCAAGTGTCTTGAAGAATTTTTTTTCCCTCAGGCTGATTTGTACAGACATAAAAATGGGACTCTGGGGCTGGAGATATGTTTTAGAGGTTAAAGGCGCTGGCTGTTCTTCCAAAGGCCCTGCATGCAAATCCCAGCAACCACATGGTGGCTCACAACCATCTTTCATGAGATCTGGTGCCCTCTTCTGGCCGGCTAGCACACATGCAGGAAAATA